CATGTGAGATATCATTAGATATCATTTGCGGTCACGTGACTCATCTTGTCAACTTCTGTAATGCCTTCAAGCGGTGTTTTATATCATAACCTTGACTAACGTGGTACAAAAAGCCACCCAGCTTCATTTTCTTCAGTACCTTAATTAACCCACGCCTTTTCATACACCTGAGTCTGACTATCCTGAGAGAATACTGAAAGATTCGTTTCCTTCGATTTAGAAACGAGATTTAACCTGTGTGTCACTTCCTGCTGCAATAAGACTAAGGACAAGAGGGAAGCACGAAACAAAAACATATTTGATAAAAATAGTTGACCAATTACAACGTGCCGTACTAATTAAATAATGGGGCAGTTTCTAGGAAAACGCAAAAGAACATTTTACATCACGGGTGGCCAATTATCAATCAAATTTAAGAGTGACTTGAGTTTCTATTGGGTATTATAGACTTAGAATTGACAGACTGACAGGCGCTTCTACTACCCAACTTAAAAGTAGAGTAGTGGATAACATCGTTTGTATTTTAATAAAACGCGTTCAGGGATATTTTGCATCCACTTGAAGTGTCCCCTCAGCAGCAGCGGAGAATTGTACAACCCTTGCAACATGAAGATCCTGTTTGGTCTCGCCTTTCTTCTTTGCTTTTCAGTCAGTAAGTTATTTCAGTCTTGTTCAATCGGTTTGTTCTTGTTTAGATTAGGATATGAAAATGCAAAGGAAATTTGCTCTGTACGTAGTTTCCCGCCGTTCCCTTTGCCGGCGTCCTTTATCTTCTTTCTAGGAATCAAGGGGTGTGGCTCGCCATTTTGCTCACTTTCTTATCTGCACGTTCCGGACAAACATCAATGATTTTCACTCTCGATTTTTGACTTCATTCGGAACGTAACGTCTAATAAGAGTTTAATAAGCTAGTGTAATATTAGGCTAGAAATAAACGTGATTGTAGCCTTCCAGTTTTTCGCATTTGAGTAGAATAATTGAACACATCTTTAACGGCTGTGTTGGAAAGTATTTAGCACGGTAATGCCTAACAAAGAGAGGGCAATGTCGGCTAGGTAGCGTAACTTTGTCGAACTTCAGTTGTATTTGGTGTTGACGAACGTTCTTTCTGTTCTGATTTCCAAAGATTCCATGCGTGGAGAGCGTATTCGTCGAATAATTTTACGAAAAGAAAGAGTCGAATTAAAATGCTGTCCAGTTCTGTAAGATTCTTTAGTCGATTCCACAAACGCGGGTCCTAACTTCCGGCAAGAAACGTGAAAATAGGTGTATTCTTGAAAACTAAGCTGTTTTCTCACCACCTGCCTAAGTGCAACTTTATTCTAAATTTTCACTTTAAGCGCTTTTCTGTTTATCTCTAAAAAGGCTCGACAGAATTCTTCTTAAACCTCATCACACAATCTCGGCATGATGTATATATTAATGTTTGAAACTGTTTTTTGGAAATTTCAAGACGAACCTAGCTAACAAACCGGTCAAAAATCCGCTTTATAACATTCACTTTTTAACTTGTTATGCTAATTTTTCCAAATTAATCCTCATCATACACATCTCCAAGGCTAGCACATTTTAGTATGAATTTTATTACATATTTTTTTGCAGATACATGGGTTTATAACTGGGAAGGCAAGTTGGGAGGGGGGAATTAAAAAGTGTCAGTTAACGGCAGGCCATTATACAGTTGTTTGCTCAGTGCCCTGAACTTTAAATAGAAACGACGATGGAGTTGACCTTGTTATGTAATGTTACAAACCTTCCTGCTTTTCTAGTGCAAAGAGTGACAACCGTATTATTCTCACTTTTTGCAAACAGACCCATGATCATGATCATTTACATTTGAAAAATAGAAACTGGTATAATGTAACAAAACAAGGTCACCCCAAGCCTCGACACGTTTTAAAGGCCTGGGCACTGAGCACACGGCTGCATCTTAATGAGGGGGCGTACGTTATGGACTGGTTTATGGAATTTAATCCAAGCAAGTGCAACGTTATACGGGTAACACGCAGACGAACACCTTTCAAATTTCACTACAAACTTTATGGCAATATCCTAGAAACTGTAAATACTTAGGGATCTATCTCCCGCATGATATTACGCTGGAATGATCATGTAAATGAAATTACCATCAAAGCAAACAAGACTCTGAACTTTCTAAGCCGCAATTTCCGCACTTTTTCGGTCAAATCCAAAGAACGAGCATACAAAGCCCTTGTGCATGTGAGATATCATTAGATATCATTTGCGGTCGCGTGACTTATCCGTGTCAACTTCTGTAATGCCTTCAGGTTGTGTTTTGCATCATAACCTTGACTAACGTGGTAGAAAAGCCACCCCGCTTTTTTTCTTCAGTATCTTAATTAACCCACGCCTTTTCATACACCTGAGTCTGACTATCCTGAGAGAATACTGAAAGATTCGTTTCCTTCGATTTAGAAACGAGATTTAACCTGTGTGTCACTTCCTGCTGCAATAAGACTAAGGACAAGAGGGAAGCACGAAACAAAAACATATTTGGTAACATTACAACGTGCCGTACTAATTAAATAATGGGGCAATTCTAGGAAAACGCAAAAAAAGTGTTGCATGACAGGTGGCCTTTTGAGTGACCAAATGCAATCTTCTTTGATTGGGTTTATTCCGGCTATGATTGGCAATTGTCAATCAAATTTAAGAGTGACTTGAGTTTCTATTGGGTATTATAGACTTAGAATTGACAGACTGACAGGCGCTTCTACTACCCAACTTAAAAGTACGGTTAGTGGATAGCATCGGCGTCTGTCTTTTAATAAAACGCGTTCAGAGATATTTTGCAACCACTTGAAGTGTCCCCTCAGCAGCAGCGGAGAATTGTACAGAACTTTCAACATGAAGATCCTGTTTGGTCTCGCCTTTCTTCTTTGCTTTTCAGTCGGTAAGTTATTTTAGTCTTGTTCAATCTGTTTCTTCTTGTTTAGATTAGGATATAAATACAAAGGAAATTTGCTCTGTTGTTTCTCGCCGTTCCCTTTGCTGGCGTCCTTTATCTTCTTTCTCGGAGTCAGGGGGTGTGACTCGCCATTTTGCTCACTTTCTATCCACACAATCCGGACAAACATCAATGATTTTCACTCTCGCTTTATAACTTCATTAGGAACGTAACGTTTGATAAGAGTTTAATAAGTTAGAGTGTAATATTAGGATAGAAATAAACGTGATTATAACCTCCAGTTTTTTGCATTTGAGTAGAATAATTTAACACATCTTTAACGGCTGTGTTAAGAAGTATTTAGCACGGTAATGTCTTGACGAACGTTTTTTCAGTTCTGATTTCCACGGATTCCATGCGTGGTGAGCGTATTCGTCGATGAATTTTACGAAATGCAACATTCGAATTAAAATGCTCTCCAATTCTGTAATGTTTTTTTATTAGTCGATTCCCCCAACGCGGGTCCTAACGTCCGGCAAGAAACTTGAAAATAAGTGTAACAAGCAAAAATACGGCTGTTTTGGTATAATTGGTCTTGCTTTATATTGTGCGCAAGCAGGATTAGAGCGGTTGTGCAAGATGGAAGTGTCGCACCACAAACAATCTCATTTGCACACTAAACCTTGACACGTTCATGAGGAATGCAGAAATAAATGCAGGAAAATCATCACAGTTAAATGCGCAACTTACACAGTTACGAAAAGAAAGCCAGTAAGCCTGAATTTTGCAGGTTTTCTTTTCGTAACTGCTTAAGTTGTGCATTTAAATGTGATGATCTTCCCGGCATTTAACTATTTAAACTCAACATTGCTGCGCAACAAATTGGACGAAACTTTTTGTATTCATTTCGTGATCTCAAGTTTGCAAGAGGAACAGTAAATGAACGCAACATAATTCGTTCCTCATTGTTGCTGATGTCGACACTATGAGCGTTCGCGTTCATAGTGTATATCATAGACTGTAAAACCAGCTTTTCTCTACATACAATCGGTGAGTGTTGTATTCTATAGTATTCATTTCCGCATCTATATATAAAAAGGTAAGTCAATACTGAAGTAAGTAAGTAAATTTTTACTTATTTCCTATAACGAAGTGAAGAAATTCTTGGTAATTTCGTACATTGTTGCATGGACTTGATGACTCTTTGAAAGTATTCGGAAACCGGGAAAAAGATGCGCATTCCAAGAAAGCACGCGGTCAGTTCCTGTTATTTTAGTGCTCTGAATCACCTGAGCGCCGTCCTAACGTAATGTAAAAAGCGGTTTATTGGATTATCGGTATTATATGACAGGAGAGAAAATTATCACAGTTAAATGCGCAACTTAAGCAGTTACGAAAAGGGCGATGTCAGACATGTGCTCCAATGTGACCCACTTGAGATCATTTAGTAGCTGCATGAAAACTACTCCAATTGCAAAATATAATTGTCAACTTCTGTAATACCTTCAGGCGGTGTTTTATACCATAACCTTGACTAACGTGGTACAAAAGCCACCCCGCTTCATTTTCTTCACTATCTTAATCAACCCACGCCTTTTCATACACCTGAGTCTGACTATCCTGAGAGAATACTGAAAGATTCGTTTTCTTCGATTTGGAAACGAGATTTAACCTGTGTCACTTCCTGCTGTAAGAAGACTAAGGACACGAGGGAAGCACAAAATAAAAAAATATTTGGTAAAAATAGTTGACCAATTACAATGTGCCGTTCTAAGTGAATAATGGGGAGGTTTCTAGGAAAGCGCACAGAATCGTGTTGCATCATTGGTGGCCTTTTGAGTGCCGAAATGCGATCTTCTTTATTGGGTTTATTCTGGCTATGATTGGTAATTGTTAATCAAATCTAAGAGTGACTTGAGTTTCTATTGGTTTTTATAGACTTAGAATTGAAAGACTGACAGGCGCTTCTACTACTCAACTTTAAAGTAGGGTAGTGGATAGCATCGTCTGTGTTTTAATAAAACGCTTTCAGAGATATTTTGCGTCCACTTGAAGTGTCCCCTCAGCAGCAGTTCCAATTGTACAGCACTTGCAACATGAAGATCCTGTTTGGTCTCGCCTTTCTTCTTTGCTTTTCAGTCAGTAAGTTATTTTAGTCTTGTCCAATCTGTTTCTTCTTGTTTAGCTTAGGACATAAATTCAAAGGAAATTTGCTCTGTAGTTTCCCGCAGCGCCGTTCCCTTTGCTGGCGTCCTTTATCTTCCGCAAGTTCTCGGAATCATGGGGTGTGGCTCGCCATTTTGCTCACATTCTTATCCGCACGTTCCAGACAAACATCAATGATTTTCACTCTCGCTTTATAAATTCATTCGGAACGTAACGTTTGATAAGAGTTTAATAAGCCAGTGTAATATTAGGCCAGAAATAAACGTGATTATAACCTCCTTTTTTTTGCATTGGAGTAGAATAATTGTACACATCTTCAACGGCTGTGTTAAGAAGAATTTAGCACGGCAATGCCGAACAAAGAGAGGGCGATGTCGGCTAGGTACCGTAACTTCGTCGAACTTTGTGATTGGTGTTGATGAACGTTCTTTCAGTTCTGATTTCCAAGGATTCCATGCGTGATGAGCGTATCCGTCGATGATTTTACGAAAAGCAAGAGTCGAATTAAAATGCTGTCCAGTTCTGTGAGATTCTTTAGTCGATTCCACGCACAAACGCGGGTCCTAACTTCCGGCAAGAAACGTAAAAATAAATGTAACAAGCAAAAATACAGCTGGTTTGGTATGATTGGTCTCGATTATTGTGCGCAAGCAGGATTAGAGCGGTTGTGCAGGATGGAAGTGTCGCACCACAAACAATCTCATTTGCACACCAAACATTGACACGTTCATATATTACAACTGCGGAATGCAGAAATAAATGCAGAGAAAATTATCACAGTTAAATGCGCAACTTAAGCAGAATTTTTCAGGCTTTCTTTTCGTAACTGCTTAAGTTGTGCATTTAAATGTGATGATCTTCCCTGCATTTAACTATTTAAACTCAACATTGCTGCGCAACAAATTGGACGAAACTTTTTGTATTCATTTTGTGATCTCAAGTTTGCAAGAGGAACAGTAAATGAACGCAACATAATTCGTTCCTCATTGTTGTTGATGTCGATACTATGAGCGTTCGCGTTCTTAGTGTATATCATAGACTGTAAAACCAGCTTTTCTCTACATACAATCGGTGAATGTTGTATTCTACAGTATTCATTTCCGCATCTATATATAAAAAGGTAAGTCAATACTGAAGTAAGTTATTTCCTATAACGAAGTGAAGAAATTCTTGGTAATTTCGTACATTGTTGCATGGACTTGATGTCTCTTTGAAAGTATTCGGAAACCGGGAAAAAGATGCGCATTCCAAGAAAGCACGCGGTCAGTTCCTGTTATTTTAGTGCTCTGAATCACCTGAGCGCCGTCCTTACGTAATGTAAAAAGCGGTTTATTGGATTATCGGTATTATATGACAGGAGAGCAAACTCTTGTGGAGAAAGACTCTCCTTCCTAGAGGACAACGAAAAGTTCGTTTTTCAGTAGGTCGGCCCACTTTGGTGACGTTTCCCCTTTTCTGGTAGGCGCAACAAACACATTTTCCGAGCTTATCCATCCATTCGTAAAATTGCCGAACTGTATTTTGAAACAACAGCCGCAGATTCTACAATTTGTCCGAAGCGCTCGGCTCTTTCGGCTTTCTCCCTCTTCGAGGAGCAGGCACAGGCTTTGTTGTCGTACTGCCACTTCCACTCATTTCTGATCCTCGACTATATATACCACCTTTTACTATATACACTACATTTCACAGAGAAGCAACACTAAAAACTGCTTTAGAATTAATGTATTACAGCGACGAGATTCGAAGCCAAGTGCAGACAATAACACGCGCTATTCTACCTCGAAATCAATCACCGAGTGTATCAAATTCACAAAGAGGGCGGAGTTGCGAACAGATTTTTGACAGCTCGACGACATTTTTGAACCCCCTGGTCGGAACGAACTCATTGTATGGAAAACGTGTGAGGGTCGCGCGCTTCACTCGCGTAAGACTCTTACGCCACGCTTTACCGATTTCTTTACTGATTTTACACTCGAACGTGCAATTAAACCTTTGTCAGGGGAACTGATCGAACGTGTCACACAGATAGCTCTTATTTGGGGTTTCAAAGAGGGGGGAAGTAACGAAAACAATATCGTTTGTACCAGCGTTTTCGTCCCTCAGCACTTGAATCTCCCTTCATATTCTCGAGCGCCTTTGCTTCCCAACATAAGACTTTCACTTCCAATTTTACGTTTCGGTATGTAACTTCCATTTTTTTTTAAAAAAATAGGTATGGTAGGTTTTGGATAAATTTTGATCTTGCCGTTCTGTTTTTTTCGCTAGAGGTTTTGACCTTTGTGTCTAATTAATGCCAGTGCTAATTAAATGTTGACAGTTTTCCTTTAGCATCGCAGACGAAATTGAATTGTGTCAGTCCTCTACAAGTTTGTCAAACATTTCGTGCGTTTTTCTCCGAGAAAAGCTTGTCTGAAGAAATGAGGTGATGGGCAAAGGTTCAATATCCATTTAATACCAAATGGTTTACGCGTCGGAAAACAAAAATATTGAATTACTACTATGGGATAGTTGGGTGTGGCGGCCTTCGAGATTCAGGCTGTGAATTCTATTTTTGTATTTGTTTCTTTTTTCCAGGTTATGCCCTGAAATGCTACCAATGTATCTCTCTTAAGAGCTGGGATGACTGCAAAAGCAGTGAAAAGGAGCTAACCTGTTCGGGCAGTCTGGACCGTTGTGCCAAAGTTAATGTAAAAGCTGAGAGCTCAGCCGCGTCAGCCGAAGCCTTTGCCAAAGGATGTACCACTTCATCTGACTGCAGCAAGAAGAACTGCAAATCGATCTATCCCTCAGTGAAAATCACCAAATGCGAAATCAACTGCTGTGCAGGTGACCTGTGCAATGGCGCCCAAGTACCAATGGTCAGCGCCGTCATGCTGTTGGCATGCGCTATTGTAGCTTTTGCTCGATAAGCTAGAAGTCAAGGAACTGAAATATAGCCCTCCGTAGTGAAAGAAACAACAGCTCTAAATAGACATAGATTTTTTTTAATGAAGGGTTTTAAAGGATGTTGTTAATTTGAATCTCATTTGAAGTTTGAAGAAAAGAAGATTCATATCATGAGAGTTGATCTTTAGCTTAGTTCTATTTTGTTTTAGTTTTTCTAATGCAGTGAAATAAAAAAGATGTTGTTTCCTCTAATTTACCGCTGATACTGAATTTTAGTGTAAAGGATGCGTAAAGAGGGGTGAATCCAATACTGAGTGAAAAATTCACAGTTCATCCGGCATTTACAACATGATAACATTACCTCAATATATCAGGCTTTTGATGGCACTGATTATAACAATAATCAATCTCGAGTGAAATCGCGGTTAGCAAAAATATTCTTTTAACATCCCTCTTCTATTTCGAGCAGTGCCTTCTAACAGTGCTAGTGGTCTTAAGGGAAGATTACGGCGCAGCCGCGGTTCAGCTTCATGTCCTAGTCTAGCCGACTCATACAACTAACCTATCAATGTTCGCAAAAAGTTTTTCAGGATGGATAAAAGCCCATAATAATTATCATCTAGAGAAGGGGAGCAGGTCCAATTTTAAAGGGTGTTACTAGAAAGAGTAAGGGAGTAATGAGGAAACTAGCAAGGATTGCAATTATGCTAAACATTTGTGCTTCATTCCAAAGAATTCCTGATGCCAAGAATTATTCAACATAGTTTAGTTGCATGCCAATTTTTTTTTCGTCCAAAAACGCCAAAGTTAGCTTTTGTTCTCCTCCGTCGGCGTTCTTTTTATTTGCTCTTGCTATTATTGTTCCTTTCCTCTTACTTTGCTACTGAGGCGCCGTCCACACGTATCTAGGCTCGATTTCCGCCGCTCTCTTCCGTCCGAGCACGGGCTCATTCCCGAACAGCGGCTGGTAATCGAGCTAAAACGTGCTATGGCGTCAGATCGTGGGCAAAATCGATACTCACTTTTCATGGCCCCGCAAACACTACTTCGCTTCGAAAATTGTTCTTCAAGTTATTGTCTCTTGTCTTCGTGGCGCAGGTTCGATGTCTTCGAGTCGTCGTGCCCTTCGTTTCATCGTACTGTTTTCTTCGGGGCACCGCTGGCCTTTCTTCGTGTCGTGAAATTTTTCTTTCGTTGTATCCTTTTCCTCGAGGCGTCGCAATGGGCTTGTTTCGTCGTTGCATCATTTTCAAGTCCTTACTTCTTCGGTTCTTCCTTTCGTCAACTGAGCTACATACAAGACAGCAATAAGTCAACTTTTCCCGCCTTCGTTGCACGAGGCTCACACAGGCCAAAAGAAAAGGGCGAAAAAGGTGACGGAAACCGGTGTCCATGTTAAAGGACGCTCTTGCCTAAATTGAGAATAAAAGTGACGAACAGCAGCCATCAACTCCCACAAGCGGATTTAGGGACTGGCCGAGGGGACCGCGGCCACCCCTTTTTCTTTGAAATTTTGTATTATTTTTATTAAATTCTCAGAAAAATAAATATCTATAAAGCCGACAAATATCCCGGCCATCCCTTTCTGAATGTTCTGGATCTGCCCCTGCATCCCCTTTTACATCCTCACGATCTTTTGCTAAAGCTCTCCAGAAGGACTTGAAACAAGTTTAGTCGAGTTATATTCATTATAGATTATCGGTTTTCTGGAAAGATCAAGTGTTAATTTTTGAGTGCCTGCTTTTATTACTTGTAAATAAGAATTGATTGTTCACTCTCAAAGGCGGGCATTTCCTTCCATCTCCGGTGAGGAGGCAACAGATTACAAGCTCCTTTAAAGAAAGGGAAACGAATTACCGATGGAAAGCTGTTTTCATAAACCAGCAGAAAGAATCATGGGCGCATGACTTCTGCTTATTCTCGGACGCAGAACAAGACAGAACCCCCTGAGAAGAAAAATTGGCATTGTTCAAAGAAGCAAAGCTCGACAAGAAATAAAAAAAATTTTCCCGAAACAAGAATGATAACTTTGAGCATTGTAAAGATGTTCTTTAAACAACAAGTGTTCAGATATGATTTGCTCTGTTTACACTTAATTTTTGATAAATGAAATGGCTATTTCTCTGTTAAAATAATTAATGCTTTCTTGAATATCATTGTCGACTTGAATGCAAATTAAAAAATTTAACTTTCTTTGGCATTGGCATTTGCTTCCTCAGAGTTTTGTGGCCTTCTTAGAATTCATTCACCACAATTCTACTATATCTAGTGAAACACCACGATGTGAAGATGTGATGATCATTTTTGAATTTAGTTAATTTTCCAATGAAGTTACCTTTTTTCAAAAGTGGCATTCATTTCAATAAAATCGTTTCCTTTTTGCGGATAATTTGTTTGTACTGTCCAGTTTTTTTATGTACTAAATTAAATACTCGGAGAGGGGGGGGAGGTACCTCGTATAATGGCCTATATGGGGAGACACCGTCCGAAATGGGTTACTTTTTCAGGCTTCAGGTATATGTCGGGGTAGGGATTTTACTAAATGAAGTATATGAAAGGGTAGGGAAATCTGTCATTTCGGTCTGTAAAAATGCCCAAAAGGGCTAACAGCTGCATTTTATGGCTGTGAAAATGCCGAGAAAACATTCTGGTCTTGTGATTTATTCGTATTTAAAAGATAATGTGGTTACAGCAGTTAAAAGAAATGCAAGGTTTCGAACAGTTCTAAACTAAGTATGTAGCTAAGTCGACGATAGGAAAAACGGACGACACGAAAACATGAAAACGACGCAGCGACGTAACAACCGTCGAAAGGGATTGACGACACGAAGAAAGGCCAGCGGTGCCCCGAAGAAGACAATACGATGAAACGAACGAAGGACACGACGACTTCGAAGACATGTAACCGACGCTACGAAGATAATTGACAATAAGCAGATAACTCGAAGAACAATTTTCGAAGTGAAGAAGTGTTTCCAAGGCCATGAAATGTGGCTATCGATTATGTCCCCGATGTGACGCCATACCACGTATCCGGATAGTTTTTAATCCGCAAGGATTTTTCTTTTTTTTTTGCGGATACGGTTTCCGTCCACACGTATCCGGTGAATCCGCCCGGCGTACGAATCCGCAACTTTTTGAATCCGCTCTCCAGAGTGGAAATTTTTGAATACGCTCTGAATCCGGAAATTTGTGGACGCTAGATCCGGAATTTTTTAATCCGGTGACGTAAAAAAATCGAGCCCTGTTCTTTACCGTGAAAGGCAGAGCAAGATTCAAATTTCGAGCGCTTTACGACGCATGCTCTCCTGCCAATATTCCCAGAGGAGTCCAGTGAATCGGTTTGAATACGGATACCTGTGGACGTGGAATTTTTTTTTAATCCGGATCAAAAAAGTTGTGGATTCAAAAATATCAGGATAAGTGTTGAAGGGGCCTGAATGTGATGTTTGGCCGTAATTATCGGGCGCAAAAAACCTGCCTTTTGGCTCTTTTCCATTCAAAAGCTGTTAATTTTGCTAGGCTCGTCTTCAAAAAATCCGATTGGATAAAATGTGCCACAACCATAATTTAGAAATGTAGCTTGATGGTTATGATAACTTTTATGTTTTGTTGTTGTTATTGTTGATGTTATATTTTTCGCTAAAATGTTTACGCCATTTTACAAATGAGTTTGCTGGCGTATGTAGAAGAGTCATTACCTTTCTGAATATATATGTTGCCAGCTTAATGCAATAATTTAATCTGCTTTCAGAACAGTAATAGCTCCGCGCTATTACGGTGCTGAAAGCAGATTAAATTATTGCATTAATTAAGCTGGCAACATATATATTCAGAGAGAGTCTGTTATGAGCTGTTGATTACTTTTCAACTCGCATAAAAAAGGAACACTAATGGAAAAGAATAACTTACATCAAATTAAGTCTTGATGATAAATTGTTAGTTTTTCCCCCATATATGATATTCAGACGCTGTTTTGAAAGGTTGTTTAGTAATTGAGAAGCACGATTTGATGGACGAACTGTTGTTTGATGCTACAATGTAGGTCACTAAGCAATATAATGTTACCCCCGGCATTAAATCGTTATTGATATTGAAATCTACATTTAGACCTAAACGGGTCTAGATATGGATGTCAAACAAGACTAATAACCTATAATTGTTATACTCTTTCAATACCTAAAGGTAACAAAACAAGATTGATTTGGACTCGTTATGGGCAATGATCAGGCGCGGATCTAGGATTAATATTGACCGATTTCCTAAACGAGGGGCCGAGGGAGCAAGCGTCTAGGGGAGCCCCCGGGAATTTTTTTTGATTTTTAAAGTCCCTAAAATTCCCTTTCTCGGGTTTCTGTCTAATGACCGGAAATTGGAAAAAGAAAACATTTTTCCAGACTATTTTCCAGAAAGTTCTATTATTGTTATTTTATTATTAAAAATGTTTATCTTGAAAAATCTGACCGATTTCCGTAAAACGGTGGAAACCGGTGTGGATCCGCGCCTGATGATAGACTGACTTGGCATGCGGAAAATTTTCTCAAAGTTCTTTAAATTTTACTTACGGTAACATGCGTGTTGCCGAGCTTTCAAATGCAACCAAAATACAGTAAAATCTCAACGCTTATGAATGGCCAAATAACAATTGACAGTAAACTACCGTCTTGAAACACCTTGTTTTTTTATTGACAGTTCTTGAAAGCGGCCGTATTTTTTGCGTGCTGTACTGGGCCGGCTTGTTCAAAGCTAGGTTACGGTAACCCAGGGTTAGTGTGAAATTTGAATTCAGATATGAAACCTTAAAAAAAATTCAGTTTAATTCTTTTTGTCCACATTTTGGTAACTGGATGAACTACAAAGAATGGAGGAAAATATCTGAGAAGATTCTTTGAAGGAAAGGTAAGGAAGCCTGGATTAAATTTAACCCTGGGTTAGACCTAATCAGCCTTCCAACAACTGGACCCTGGGACACAACTTGTAAAAGTTCAGTAAATGACGCGGCTCTCGAAACAAAAAAAATTCCGTTCATTTCAATACGGAACTCAGATTTGAAGTAAATCCATATTCCGTGATAGTTTTCTATCTATTCATTCATCGATGTTAATGCCTAATCATCCAGTTTTGTGCTTACTGGCTTATGGCAAGAAACGCACTTGCTAAAGCTTAGTTTCTTGGCCTCATTATTCCACGCGGCCTAGTCCTACAAATGTATTGATCTAGAAGGC